TCATTAAATTAGTATAACTGCTTAAATATTTCGTGTGTTCAACTTCAACTGCCATCTTACCCGATCACCTTCCGCTTGTCTCTCTGAGGGCATCCTGCACCTTGTTTCCATGGAAACAGCCTCTAAAGCCGGCTCTCAGAAAGGGACAGGAAGAGATGCTGAAATGGCAAAAAAGCCTCTTTGTGCTCACAGAGGCCCTCCGACCGTGTAGGCCTCTAGATAGTAGAAAGGGTTAATCACATATGCACAACTTCCACTTTAGGCAAAAGAGATGAGATAAGGAAGCAGAACTCTAGATAACTTTGATAACAGTGAAATGAACAGTTGCAGCTTTTGTGAGAGTGTTTCTGCAGTAAAATGGAGTTTATGTTACCAGAGTCAGAACTGCGTCAGTGGGATCTTGTTCTTCATTCGCTGCTATGGATCAGTACAGTCGGTGTGTTCAATCACAGAGCTGCGATTAACGCGTTACATCACAATATCCAATCATGCATGCACACAAGAAAATATCCATACAAACACTATATGAAAACATACACACACAAAGAAAGTGTGAAATCCTAAGCACCATCTCGTCTGCAAACATCACACTAAGACACACGCACACTGTCACGCACACACGCACATGAAATCTCACTCCATTCTGTATCGGAAAATTGGATTGCTGCTCCGAATAACTTGATTATAAACAGCCTCCCTCTCACACTGGGGCTGTATCACTTAATAAAGCTTAAGTGCAATGACACGCCAGTGCCCACACTCAAACACACACAAAGACATGTGCACGCACACACCACTGCAGATCTATAGATCAGCAGTTACATGTCAACAGTAACAAACGCTATATAAAAATAAACTCAACAAACACTGCAGACACTTCTCAGAGAAAACCATGGATTCTAGGTCAGGCACAAAGAGGCCACTTTTCAACCAGCAAAGGGCCTTGTGTATTTAAATATTGACTGATTAAGACTTGGAGGCTAGCAAAAGATCGAATGTGTCGGCATTAGGCGTGTGAAGAGGCTTTTTAAGTCAATATATTCATGCATTGTCACAGCACAGCAGCGTGTGGGCCAACACTGAGAACAAAGGCATGGAACACTTATGGAAAAACACTATGTGACGCTTTGAAGTTAACTTTTTCTTCTCTTTTAGAAATACATTGCAGAAATGACTACATCAACTGTACAGCCTACATATGAGTGTAGCAAAGCACCACAAACATGCACGTTCACACTACTTTGTCTGACATAATGATTTAATGTTGCTGAAACAAAGGCAGCAGATGTGTTTTTGTTTGTTTTTATGATTGATGATGAGGATCGTGATTTAGGAGACTGGGATTTCAAAGCATCATAAGAAAAAGCAAAAGTATTTTACATTTTGGTGCAGTAGCCAGCAGGGTTTATAGATCATTGACTTTTAAAGGGAAATATTGTTGTACTTCTAGTTGTAGGTAAGATTTCAAATGCAAAATACATCATTGTCTTATAAAATCAGATTTGCTGTAATATATTGAAGTACCCAACAGTAAATAAAGCACCAAGATTTAGTTCCACCATCCTTGACAAGCTGCAGCACTACAGCTGCTTACACATTATTGCATCAGTAATAGAAATGCAATAACATAACACATATAAGGATATAACACTCTGAAAGGAATCATTCAGCATGAAGAGCAGCTTCATTTTTTAAAATCTCAAGTATATGTTGTTAATAAAGCTTCATCTTCTTCTTCATTTCTTGACACCCACAAGTCAGCTCCCACACACACTCCTTTTTACTTCATCTCAAGACTTGTTAGAAAAACATCAGACAACCTGGGATTTTGTCTGAGGAGTAATTCAGGGCAAAATGAGAAACAGACTGATTCCTGGTGTAGTCAGACTGCAGCTCTATAGCTCCATCTAGTGTTTGACTGTAGTATATACATAGAAGTTATCAGACCGTCACAGGGTATTTTTCGCATCCCTTCATCAGTAGCTCACTTTAAAGGTCCTATATTTGTGCCCCTTTTTAGCAAACCACTGAAAGCTTCACCTGTCCCCACAGTGGGTCTTCCTTTTTTTTTCTTTTTTCTTTCAGTCCAAAATACTGCAAAGATGGATCATTTTAGCATGACTTTATAACCCCTGGTTTTAACCCTCTTCTAAATGGGCCATTTGGACTTCTTTGAAAACCAATAAGCTGCTGCTGTTCAGGCCTCCACTGAGAAGAACACACTGTCAGAGTCTGTGGTTGACAGCGCAGGGAAGAACAGTGAGACTTTTTATCACTTTCTTTTCTGAGCGATTGTCATTGAAATATTGCCAAATACACAGTAGGGCTCTTGTGTTTAGCTCATGTTTATGATGAGTTTGTCACAATACAGTTATAAAATCAGTAGTTTAGAGGTGCAGCGCAGCAGTTTGGAAACAGCTCTGAGGTGACTGCTGGTTAACATGTAGCCTTATGGGCTGCATTTCAGTCACTATTTCATACTTGTTCTATTGTCTGACAACAGAAACAGAAAAATATGTTAATGAGAACAACTTTATTGGGAACTAGCCTGTGATAAAATGCAGTATATGTGAGCACAGAGAGCAGGAGAGATGCCAACACTGGCTGAGTGTTGGTTGCACTGAAGCACAACTGCCAACATGAACAACACAGTAACCCACTCAGTCCTTTTTTAGTTGTCCTAAAGCTTCCACCATCCCAGAATATCCCTCAGTGTTCCAGTTTCTAACATTAGCCACATGAGCTGCACAGCATGCTAACACTTAAGGGTTTTCTCATCTTTGGGGAGGCATTGCCATCAGGAATTAAAAGCAAACCATTGGATCTTGAGTTCCTCAGATACTGGGAGTGCATCAAGACTCTTGTGTTCACCCTTGCAACCAACAGTAGATCATTTGATGTGCTTTCCTCATGCCTGAGACATTCTAGAGTTTGCAGAAGCAGCACTAGAAAGTAAATAAACCTGGCAGACTCTGAGGCAGTTCCTTCTGAATGGTTCACTTGGAAGCAGCAGGCAGCAAGGGACCAGGATTATGCAAAGCTTGAACTGGACGACTGTTGGTGAGTTAGGTGGTACATAGCACCTGGGTAAAATCCTTACTGGTCTGTGAAGCTGGGAGGCTTTCTAGTTGTGGGTTGTGGGTAAAGGAATGTACAGAAGCAATCATCTTCATATTTTAATAGCTTTTACTTTACATCTCCAGGAATATAACAATCACAAAATAAAATAGAAAAGGATTTTTACCATGTGAGACCACATTATTAGTGAATCAGCGATTGTTCATCTCAAGGAACTCATGTCAACTTTAACATTATATAACATTTTATTTTATTATGTAAAAATATCCTGTACTTGAAAGTCTGGAAATCTGGATTAATGTCATAACAGCCTTTACTTTTGTTCCTGCTATTTATGATCAACAGCATCATGAAGTTAAAATATGTACGCTGATATGGGTCTAAACATGCGTTTCTGTCCATCTGCGGGTCTGGTTTGAAAAGAATTTTCAAACGGTGCAATATAGCCAAGTACTATATATTTAAATACTTTCTAAAAAATGTTCACAGTTGTTTACGATGGTAAAACAATTCATGGCTTCAGCTTGTCTTTTAACTGTGCTAAATCATTATGAAGGTGTTACTTTGGGCTCTGAGTAATTGTGACAGCGTTTCTAACTTAACTGCATTTATTTTATTTTTTTTAATCAGTTGATTCATTCAGAATATAATCATAAGCTGCAGCTCTTTACAGAAATTGAGATTCACTAATGGAGCTACAGTATTAAAATGCTGCTTACACATGGATATTAATCAGTCACAGTCTATGCTGAGTATTTCTGAACACTCGAAGTACATTTTCTCAATTATACGTCCATACTCTTACTTGAGTTTATCTTATTTGAGTCATGTAATTGAGTCTCCCTACTGTGTCCTTGTCCATTGCTGCCAATATTTTGATTTTACAAACAGACAAACAAACAAACAAAAAAAAAACTAATCAGAAATAATACAAATGGAACTGATTAGGTCAACTCTGTTCTCACAAATGAAACAGCCTTGCTTGCTGCCTGGAAAAGCTGGTGCTGTGTTTCTCTATTCAGCGGCTCTTTTAACCATTAATCATTCATTATGTGAAGACCACAGCCTCCCCCAGAGAGGAAACACTGTCCGCTCATACAGAGGGAAGGAAGAAAAACGACCGCACATTACAAACACAGCTGAGAAACCCTCAGTGCTGCTGTGGCATCCAGTGACTGTTCACCTCTGAGACAGTGTTTCTCACACAGGTGAGTTTCCAGCGCATGGAGCTGTCCGTGGTTTTGAACTGAAACTTCTTGTGCGCACTGAAGATGGATTTAAAGAACGAGTGCTTTATCAGAGGACGTTTAAACAGAAAGGCCAATCCTTCTTCACCTTTTTAGCTGCTTTATCTCAGTTTTTCGGCCATCCCTTAAAGCCAAGAAGCTTTCCCAGCCGTCGCCATGCTCCCTGCTCAGGAGGCCGCCAAAATCTACCACACCAACTACGTGCGTAACGCCCGCGCCGTGGGAGTGCTGTGGACCGTTTTCACCATCACCTTCGCCGTCATCACCGTGGTGGTGTTCATCCAGCCGTACTGGATCGGAGACAGCGTCCACACGCCGCAGGCCGGATACTTCGGCCTCTTCCACTACTGCATCGGGAACGCGCTGACCTCGGAGCTCACCTGCAAAGGGAGCGCGCTGGACTTCGGCTCCATCCCGTCCGGCGCCTTCAAGACGGCCATGTTCTTCGTGGGGATTTCCATGCTGCTGGTGGTGGGAAGCATCGTCTGCTTCAGCCTCTTCTTCTTCTGCAACGCGGGGAGCGTCTACAAGATCTGCGCCTGGATGCAGCTGGCCTCCAGTGAGCGTCAGGGTTTGAGCCAAGTTTGCGCAAAAGTGCAAATAAAAACTTGACTGGAATTAAGGAAGTAAAGTTCAAATTAAATTCACAATGTTGGGAGCTAGGCCACATTTATTCTACTACCAGTACAATTGAAAAATTGAAGTTCTACCTTTTCTAGTCTTCTATGCTTCAAACTCAAATATTGGACTTTTTACTCAATTACATTTAACTGGCAGCTCTAGTGGTTAGTTACTCTCTAGACAAAGATTTTGCAGATAAATATACTGTATGACAAGCACGTAGATTGCATTATATTGTTAAATATTGACCATAACGCCCTTTTTTTTGGCTGGGACCTCTACAAAAGAGTAGTGCCTTTCTGGGACTCATCACCAAAGAGACATGTTTCCTCTGAACTCATCAAATGATCTCAGATAAATAAAGTCCAACAAGGCCAAATTATCCAATAATTCATGCCAAAAAAAAGCAAAGACTTAAGCGTCTCAAGGATCGTCAACTTTATCTTGCAAGCCCCAGTGACTTGATCCATAATTTGGGAACCACATGACTAAACATGATTCAGACTTTTATAAATTTCAATTCAACAAGCTAAAAATAATAATATGTTGCTTGCACATTGATGAATGTGTTTAAGGAATCTGATAATGTCATATATGATCATATATTAGTCACTGGGGGCAGTTGTCTGCATAAGTAATTTTACTTTTTTATACTTTAATTACATTTTGCAGACATGGTAGTTTTACTACACTAGAATTAAAAGTGAAGAAGCCTCCGTTACCTCTGAAATTTATGAACGCAATTATCCAGACCTAGCTAAGTCTCAAATTAGCAAAATAATGAAAATAATGATCAATCATAACTAAGGAGAATACATATTTACTTCATGTAATCAAGTCAAGATAATGGTATTAATGTAACACGTTCAAAACATGAGCCACGAAGCCAAAGTGCTTTCTAATGAAGACAGTAAGCAGCTTTTACAGTAAAGTTAACATTTACTGTAAGAATTTTAATATTAAGGTTAAAAAAAACTTATAATATTCAATATTCAAATTACTGTACAAATTAAAAAATTAAAGTTAGGACCCTATGAAAAGGAAAATCAAATGAATCCAAAGATTCCCAATAAAGAAATAGAAGACTAAATGAAGACAGTGCCATGTTCATAAAAGATAAAAGTGGCTCAGACTGTAAAATTCAAGGACAGCCTGATAAATGCATGACAGACCTATTCTATAATGAAAACCAAAGCCGTCAATTAGAATACAGCATCGAGCGGCATTTCAGTAGAGCCCTTTCACAGACACACAAAGGGAAACGCAGACAGAAGTGAAACGTGACTCTGCTTTTGAAACGTGAAGCAGCTTGTGAACAGATGTAGCTGCAAGTGAAAGGACAAGCCTGTAATGAAACAAGTAATGAGATTAACCCGGAGGTGTGCTGTTACACTTTCTCCTCTGCCTCCTCAGACCTCTCACACCTGCTGTTTAGTGCATGTATGTGCTCGTGTACATCCATCTTTGTGAGGACCTAGTTTTAGTTTTAGACCTCTGGAATGAGGACATTTGAAACTTTGGCTTGTCCTCACTTTGGCACAGACCTTGAAGTGGGTGTTTGAGAATTAGAACTGGCTTTAAGGTCGAGGTTATCATCAGGTTTAGGTTCATGTTAGGGCAGGGTTACGCTTTTTGTTGTGATGGTTAAGAGATATATATATATATGTCAATGGGGGTATAGATGGACAGTTATGTAGCATTAATTATTGTTTTAAGGTATATTAAAGCTCTGTATAAGATGCTAAGTAAATAAGATTTCTTTTCTGAGGGTCTTGTGGTAGTTGAGTAAGAATTCAAAAGGATTGTTGGTAGTGGTGACATGGGAAATAAAAAATGACAGGGCACCCTGAGTTATGAACTGAATAAAATAACTATATGAATATGAAGCTTTATTAGCCTGAGTGAGAGGAGCTTTCTAATTAACCGAGAAGCTGTACGTTAAAATGCTTGAAATTGCAAACAGACTGGAGAAAGTGAGCTGAAGATCTCTGTGAAGGTGAAAGGATAAGTGAGCATCAGAAAGTGAAAGTGAGATGTAAGACTGTGTGTGTGTGTGTGTGTGTGTGTGTGTGTGTGTGTGTGTGTGTGTGGGCAGTGTTTCACCTCATCATACTAAGGTGGGATGACACGAGGCCGGCTGTCTGCCCGCAGAGTCAATAATGGATGAACAAGTTCGTCTTTCTGGAGCTGAGATACTCTGGAGTTGCTAAGCAACTAAACTCTGTGTGTGTGTGTGTGTGTGTGTGTGTGTGTGTGCGCGCAAAGAGTGTATTTAATTCTGTTGTAGTTTCTCCATCTCGTTGTTTGGTGCTTCAGCAGGTGGTTTGTAATGTTGTCCAGCAGTGTTACTGCTTAACATCTAATTCTATAAAAGTTGTGCAGATTTTTTACATTGAAATCCCTAAAGGTTTCTATGTTTCCTTAAATTAACATCTATGAGTGTTTCCAAAAATCTGCTGATGAAAGTAATTGATTTTAAGCACTTTGGTGCAACAGCTGCAAGTCTTAAATGTGACATATAAAAAAACAGCAACCTGACTCAACTCAAACCAAAATGTGGGGCACCAAAAGTCAACACCCTCACCACCCTGTGCCTCTCCGCCTCTCAGGTACCTGCATGGTGATTGGCTGCATGATCTATCCTGACGGCTGGGACTCAGACGAGGTGAAGCGCATGTGTGGCCAGCGGACCGACAAATACACCCTGGGCAACTGCACCGTGCGCTGGGCCTACATCCTGGCCATCATCAGCATCATGGACTCGCTCATCCTCTCCTTCCTGGCTTTCAGCCTGGGCAGCCGGCAGGACAAGCTGCTGCCAGAGGACTTCCAGGTGGAGGAAAAAGGTACCGGGGGAAGGGAGGGTGGAGAAACAGACTAGGAATGGATGAGGGTGGAGAAAAGTAGAAAACAGTAGGATTCGGGGGGGAGTGATGAAAGAAAGGAAAACAACAGGGACTCCAAGTCAAAGGCTTCAGAGGGTTTTGGTGTAAGGGGAGGGGGTTTTTGCCTGAAGGTCTCAAAAACTTGAGAAAAAAACAAATTGCTTTTCTTTTACTCTTAGTTGGGTGGACATGGTGAGACCACAATGCCATGTGATGATAAGCAACACATCCTTTTACCAATGCTTTCCTTTTTTTTATTAGAAAAAACATTTTTATGTATAAGTGCATTAATATTGTGTGGTTAGTGTCAATGCTTGCCAGTGGCACTTTTACCAGCTTATGCTTTCAGTAAAACATGTTTTTCTTTTGGCTACAGATAATGCTTAGACCCTGCTGTGGACGAGAGTCAACATATGGTTCAGACAAGTGCTTCCTGTTCCCTGACCTGAGAGGATTCAAATGTATTCTAATGGTTCAAGGCAGTCACAATCTAGAAATAATTGGACATCATGCATCCACAAAATGAAGACAACTTATCAACGGAGTGTTGGAAACATGAGATGAATCATCGCCCACCATCAACTCCAGTGTTACAGCTTTCCATCATCTGCAGTAAATTCTAACTTTCATAAAATAATTCTGATGTAACAATACTTTCAGGTCTTTCATTACAAATGTAAAGCTGCTCAAAACTTTAGAATCAGCTCTCACAACTGGTGATCGTCAATACCAAGCCATTTGAAATGTTGAAATAAATGTTTATGGTAATTTCTAACAACGTTCATCTGAATCTTTTTGTTATGAGCAGCTAATATAAACTGAGGGGACATGATTCCAACTAATATTTCAGTGTTCTTCCTTCCAGTAACCTGACAAATCTAATGGTACTGAAAATAAAATGTTGGATACCCAAACAGATGCCACAGTTTTACATAAATCTTGGTTCTAGATGTTCCTACATGTTGTGTTGAGTCAGTCCAACAACAGTTGTAGAGCAACAACACAAAAACACTGTCCAGGTAGATTTTGGAAAATGTTTATTCTTATTACCTACAGAAGAAAAAATATCAAATGAAGATGGGAGACACGGACAGAAGAGACTTTGTAGAAAAACAAGGAAATGGTTTTGCTGGGATTCAAAGCATTCTTACAATATTTGCATTTAGTACAATCTATTATTTTTAAATCCAACACCCCCATGTGAAGAAGAAGCTCTTGCACACTTGAAGCAAAGATTTATTTTTCATTCGCTTGGAAATCACCTGAAAGTAATTCAAACCATTTCCAAAATGTGTAACATAAAAACAAAAAGACTGTTGCCCAAACCTTTTAGATTGTGCCTTCAACGCCGCAGACTGTTTAGAAACTATGCACCGCTTTAGCTGCAGAGAGGGACAAACTACAGGCCAACTCTTTGGTACACCGAACTTTGTGTGACAATGTGAGAAACACCTCGTGGAGCCTTTCTTAACAGGCAGGTGGTGATGCAGATATGAATTGGCATTCGGCAAAGGTGTCTTCTGCCAACACATGCATAAAGAAGAGAAGGGAACTGATTTCGGTTCACATTACATTGTACCAAGTGCTTTTTTTTTTTTGAAGACATAAAAAAAACAGTGGAACGAAACACAACACCTTTAACGAGGAAAAAATCTGAACAGTTTGGTTCTCAGAGTGCGATTCTGGATGAATCTCTCCTTGGTGTAAAATGTATGAAATGTTATGCCTTCTAATCCTGTAGTGCTGTCTGTATACAAATATACAAAAGTTGTTTATTTTTGTTGGTTAAAGCTAACTTAACAGTGCTTAGAGGGTTACGAGTTGCTCATTATTCCAGTTAACAATATGCAGGTATTAATTCTGAGCACTTTGCACACTGTTTAAAGCCAATGGCGAAAAAGCTGGCACACCTAATATGATGACAGATTTGGCTCATCAGTGATCTATATGATAAAAGCCATCTTTGTGGTTCTGTTCGCATCCTGCCTTCAGCATTTTGTAGAAAAGTGCAATTTCCTTTTAAATCTGACAGGTCATTATCTACAGCTAAAATACAGAGAATAATGTGCAGCAGACAAAGAGCTGAAGTCAGGAAAAAAAAACATAAAGAAAGCAAAGTCAATAAGTTCTATGCAGCCAAGTAAAAAAAAAAGAAAAAAAAAGAGCCATAAATACAGGGAGAGGACCTCTAGCTCCTTCTATAACCAGTGTAATCCATAACAGGACAAAGACTCAGCAGCAGTCTCTCTCTATTGTTTGGATGCTTGCAGGTGTGTGTAGGAAGGCCTGTGAGAGCCGAGACAATAGGCTGCAGGCACAATGCGGTCACAGGTTCTTGCAGACGTGAGTGTATTTGTTTACTTGATGTTTTCAAGCCCAGGGCCCTCAAACCTAATTTAGCCTTTCACAGTATAAGGGGAGCGGTGTGCGTGGGTGGCCTCTAGGATGTGAGCCATGGATGGGAGAGGCACTGGGCTGCGGTGGCCCTCCTGTCAGGGACCAGGTCCAGCATGGGCAGCAGGAAGCTGCTGAAAGAGTGGGCTTCCTCTTTGGACCACTCGTACTTTTCTACCAAGACGTCAAACAGCCCCCAAGGCTTCAGCTTGGTGATGTGACGCAGGTCGCCTGGGAGAAAAAACACATTCAATATACCTAATTACAGAGCTGAATCTCAGGTTGTTATAATTATAAATATTAAATAGAGTGTAATGTTATGGTGTTATGCTAACAGTGTGTAAGAGCATTTTTGCTTCGGATAAATCCACTGCAGCACCTCCATGAACTTGAAATAGCTGCAATGAATTTAATTTGCAAGTTCTGTCCTCGAGCTGAGCAGATGGCTGTTCCCTTGAGCCATCAGGTGTTCGGCCCGAAATAGTAACTTCTGCACCAAATACCTGAGAATGTTTTAAGGATGAACTGGATTTAGCTGCAGCAGACAGCTGGAGACAGGCGGAAGTGTTTACCTTTCTTGGTGAAAAACTCCTTGGAGTATTTGCCCGCAATGATGAGCTTCCGTGGAACTTTACCTAACAGCTCGATGATCAGCGCTATGTGATCTACAGGGGCCACAGAAACACAAACAGATGATGAAGCAAAAAACTGAAATGATTGAAATAACCGAGATGTGTTTTTTTTTCTACATTCACCAGTAAATGATAGACAGCAAGAAAAAAAAAAAAACTACACTCGGCTTAAAATTCAATTTAACACAACTACATTTTACTGCAATTCTCCTACCAGTACAACCAGTCACCACTGTTACAAATATTTGATTTTTAATCTTGCATTCACACTTATTTTAGCTCGTCTTCTGTAATGGAGACACTCTCTATTTAAACTCTGATGTTTGATGTTTTGCACTAACCTTCATCTCTGGAGTAGTCTTCTCCAGAGTGGGGTTCAAACAGATAATCTCCAGTAGCAAGTTCGAAGGCCTGAGGAAACAAGCACATAGGAACTCAACAACAAGTAGATAGGCACGGTAAATATACAAAGGTTCATATGTATGGCTAATGAGAAAGTAATTTAATATGTTCCTTTAGTCACAACTTCATCTTATCCTCATCTGTACTTCCTCTCAACAAGAGCAGACTGGGTCACTGCAGGCTGCCTTTTAGGGAAAGATTTTCCAGCCCCTGATCCACCCTCAGTCGCTGATGAACTGAAAGATTCCTGAGT